GGCCGATTATATTGTGCATCCCTATATAATATACTATACAGTATATTAATCTCAGTGCTCCCCACCACTAGTTAGAACTGAAGAAGCCTAGGAGTGCAGGTGGTGCAGTGGTTAGCACGCGCATGACCCATGACCCACGCACGACCACGCACGACCCATGGGGTTAACCGGGTTCGAATCTGGCCTGTGGTCCTTTCCCACATGTCTCTCCCCCTCTCATACCCACTTTCCTGTCAGCCTACTGTGGAAAAAAATGAGCCAATGAGCCACTAGTGGATGAGACATGAAAACTTCATTCAGTTGCCTAGACTGAACTTTTTCCAGCTTGCCCATGACCTGGATGACTGAGAATCTTCACAGATATTGCTTAATAAATTATTTAAAAATATTATATTTTAAATATACATTTCATTGGCTTTTATGTTCCCTTTAGCATACCAGCATTCATATTTAGCATTTCCAGTAATCAAGGGAGGTCTTCTTGCCACCTTCCTAAACTTTAACCCTCTTTACAGATTTCTATTCGATTTAAAAGGAGATACTTAAACAGCATCCACCCAAAACAAAGCAAAAAAAAAAAATCAACATTACTTCAATACCTGTAATTAATTCCACATCTACTTGAAGTGTTTTACAAGAGACCCTGGTGTAGCTCACCTCCACGATGGGAAATGTGCCTGCTGAGGAACCTCTCCCTCTTCCTCCAGTGTAGGAGAGTTGGACATTTCAGCAGCAGGGCTGAGGTGAGCACATAGCCTGTCACTGTTGACACAATGTAGACAGCGGCACACATCTCCTGTCAGTCCACTGCAAAAATACATACAGTTCTGGTTAGCATCCACCGTATGTATGCAAAAATACATACATACAGTCCTGGTTAGCATCCACAGAGAGACAGGGGTTTCAACACACTGACTTATCAGTCTTTATCAGCAGCAAATGATTGAACAGTGAGATCTGAGTCACTTCTGAGTATTAATCAATAGATTTGCCATTGACTAGTCATTTTGAAAGGGTAAAGGGTAACAAGTGAAGGTTTTAGTTTTCCCATTTTACTTTATTAATGGGAAAACTGCTAATAATTTTTAAAGAGTAGAGTACTATCCTGATTAAGAGAACTGATCATTAGGCCTGTGTGAGATCTTTAAAAGTAAACTTAAGCACTTGCTGAGTGAATCTCCATAGAGCTAAATTAGATCAGAAAAAGAGCTAATTTTGTGTAAAATGATCTACTTTTGTCAAAGCTTAGAAACACTGTAAATAATTCATACCCATGCTTCGTTATACTTAACACGGTTCAGCCAAGGTGTTTTTAAAGTTAAAAAAAGCGTCAAATTAAACCCAATCTCTCATTAATAACCGTTAGTGTCGATGTCAAATAGCCTCACTGTGCTACAGTTAGCGAAGATAAGGTCAAACTGTGTGGATTCTTACCTTTTGCATTAATGAATTTGGTTGTTCTGTGTGTCTCTGACCGCCTTGGCTGGGTGCAGGTCAGCAGCGGTGCCAGAGGTAAACTGATGTGCCCTGGCCTCTGCTCCACATATCCCTTGAGCTCTTCAGCACAGCTGGAACAACACCAACCGGCTGTCACCCGAACGCGCATGCGCCGTCACTTCTTCATATCCTCGGGGAATGAAATCAGCACTTCTGGTAGGAGAATTTCACAATAAAAGCCGCTCTTAATAGAAAAAGAAATTTTATAATCAGAAAATCAAGAAAGACACATATCCTACGCCGGGCGTTTCCCTAATTTCATATTGGTATTTCATCTCGAACTTTTTTTATATTCATAACATTTATGATAACCCAAGATATGCCAAAACAAGTAATCGTTACAAACCAAGGTTTTCGCTTTTGCCTATGCGTCCAGGCTTCCGTCGAAATGAAAGCTTGAACCAGTAGACGCCGAAGAAACAACACGTCTGAGACGGTACCATGTTGTGAGTGGCGAGCTCGCATCTAATGCTCTTAGAAGCTGGGTTTTCTAAAGAAAGACAGCAATAAAACTTGTATTTCTTCCCATTTTTGTGGAATCGTTTCCAGATACTACAATATATAAACTACAGCTAAACATACGATTAAAATTTTGATGAATATATATATGTATATATATATATACCTTTATACTTATACTACTTATACCTTTATAAGCCCGGGGATCCTTCATGGTTACTGACTGAGTCATAGGAAGGGCTACCAGTACTTACTTATGAACTGGAGGGATCACCGTTAACCTTACCTTCACCATATTTGTATGCATTAGTTGTTTCTTTTAACTCCTACTTTTTTATTGTATTGTTATTTTGATATCTCTATAAATGCATAAATGCTCTGTATTATAAAATAATAAAGTGCTCTATAAATTATTAATAAAGAAGAGCAACAGAATAAAAATAAAATTCCAATCTTAGCCCACTGGTTTGTTGTGCTATTTTCAGAAGATGCTGTGGACACCCCATGTGGCCCCTGAGGGCCCCTTGGAGCCATTCAGATTTAATTTGTGTCTAATTACTAGATAAAATAGCACCTAAAGCTTGAAAATAAAATATATGACACTAACCATTGATACTGATTATTTATAAACAAAAGTCTTCTGTCTTTGTGCAGGAATTCTTAGTATTTGCATTTAGTAACAGCCAGTGAAGCCAGAAAAGGTTTTAACAAAAGCGAATCTTAATCGCTCTAATTGACCAATCAGGACTGAAAATGCTTATGGGAAAATCTGAAATCTGATTTGTTGAAGAAAACAATTTGTAAAAGTAATATCAAACACCATTGCTCATTCTGAAGGCCCTGGCCAGATTTGATTGACATCAAACAGCAAACCAGCGAGGTGGAGTTGAAGTGAGGGAACTTCAGCCTGCCCCGCCAATGCATATGAAAATCTGCAGCTCAGAGCAAAAGTCATACAAAGCACACCCATCCACACCCACACTCCAGAGCCATGGAAACTGGCTGATTGTAGTTTGACCAAACAGGTCATACCAACAGTTTAAACATGGACTCAGTTGTTCCTGTACAAAGACAAAAAAAAAAAAAAACAGGCTCCTTTTCCTCATGCTAACCACTAGTTTATTCCACACCTCTGTGGGATGGCCTCCTATTCCTCAACCACCACAAATGGCAACTCAGCCAAAGTGGTTGTGTTGGTTGCCTTGACCTAAACAGCACCTCAATGCAGACCCTTACACCCTCTCTACTCTCCCACAAACCCACCTTGTGGGAACAAGAATGGACACCAGAAACTAGGAGCGGATATAGTACTGCCAGTAGCTGCAGGGTGCAATCTCAATATAGATTGAAATTGACTTAATAAGAGATACTAAACTAGTGTCGGCCTAGTGGGTTAGACAGGTGCACTGCAAGTTCCCTGGTTCGATCCCCACAGTCTCCACTCTGGTTTACTTAGTAAAAACCCTTAACCCCACACTGCTCCCTGGGTGCCACACAATGGCAGCCCACTGCTCCCCAAAAGGATGGGTTAAATGCAACGGTAAATTTCTACAGTGTAAGATCAATAAAGTTCAATTAATATTAAACTATGTTATTCCAGTAGTATAGTTGCCACCCCTCCTCATCACACTGAATTCCCCCAAAGATGTTAAAGGGTTGCAAAGAAGATTTGGTACATTTTTCACCTGCTGCTGATAAACCCACACATCTATTTTCCTCACAAACAGGAATTTGATTACTAATGTTTATTGCCAAGAAACATGGTTATAACAAATAAAATTAAAACCAAATACATTTTTTTTAATGTATATATTTTTGAGCCTGTATGCTTTTCTTACCTACATCAAATGTAATTCAAATTACAATGTAATTTATCTACCTAGTCATTGCCTTTATAGTTGATTGGGGATTTATGCTGCACTATGACAAAAAAAAGCTTTATATTTTACATGAGTCTGACTAAAACAGGTGTATGTAAACCTCTGAGTATCACCGCATATGCAAGTCAATATTCGACTGAACTCAGGGCGTTATCTCCTTAATACCTCAATTGCAAACCTAAGACTGGTTTAGTCCAGCAGATGTTGCTAATGTGCAATAAAATCTCTAACAAACTGATATGGTTTGAAATGTGAATGAGAGCATGAATTAACTTTAAGGCTGAACTGTTTCAAAGGTAATACTTCCAACCTCTAAGCCCCACATCATATATGATGCAGTCTACAGTAATCAGATTCAGGGACTGATAGTACTAGTCAAAGTCCGGCTTATGAAATACAGAGTCGACAGAGATACAGTGCACACCCTGGAGATAGCAGAGCTGCTTTAGACGTTTCCTGGTGGATAAACAGTTAACCTGTGCAGCGGGCTCTCGTTTTAATTTTAGGGAACCAAAATGTCTCCGTCGTTGACAGAAGTTCGAGAGGAATGGCAATCTCTGGAGCTAGAGTATCAAAAACTTCAGGTAAGAAATTTCCTATTGGCTGACAGTATCTTGCTCATATCTGATAAATTCAAAATACTCTGAGTTTTGAAGACACATTTTCAAAATCTACTTAACGGATAGTTAAGTTAAACTACCCTTAAATAACAACTAATTTTATCTATGTTTAATTTCTCTACAGTCATGTCATTAATAGATCTTTCCCATGTTTGTCTTCCAGGAGACACACAAAAAATATTTACAGAAATTGGATGAAATCTCCAAACTCCAGAGCAGCTGCTCCTCCTCTATCGCCCGTCATAGGAAAAGACTGAAGGAGGTGTCCAGACAAGTAAATAAGTGAGTGCCCACACACCCTGAAACTTGCACATGCACATAAATGGAATATGCAGGGTCATGCTTATATCCCAAAGGGGATAAAGAGCGAACCAAGCACACCACCAGCTTTAAGCAGCTGATGATTATATGATCTGATCCTATTTGCTCTTCTTAATGTATCAGGTGCACCAAGGGCTCTTCAGCCGATGATGCAAAGACTTTGGCAGACATAAAAGAGAAAGTCAAGACCCAAGAAAATGCTTTCTCTGAAATGGATGCTTTCCTACCCAAGAAAAATGGGTGATGACTTCTATATACTTATATGTATTCATTTAGGTAATTTAAACAAAAGCTGTGATGTTTTTTTTTTAAGTTAAACAACTATACTATTGCAGGTTATACCTCAATCTGGTTCTTGGGAATGTGAATGTGACTCTTCTCAGCAAGCAGTCAAAGTAAGCTTCAGATTTCAGATGTCTTCATTAAACCTAAACTTTTTCCCCCTATAATAATCTCCAAAGCATTATTTACTTGACCAGATATTGAATTTATGTCCCTCCTGTTTGTACTATAGCTTTTAAAATTGTGCAAACACATCTTTTCCAGATTCGCCTACAAGGATGAATATGAGAAGTTCAAGCTATACCTTACAGTCATCCTTCTGCTTTTCTCTGTCATATGTTTCTTTTTTGTGAGCTACAGGTAAAAACAAACAAACACTGCACCAGAAACTTTAATGTGAAATCAACCATTTCAGTTGTAGTGTATTTACACAGACGTCATGTTCATGCATAACCTCATTTGAACCTTTTGCTTCAGATCTATGGACGCAATCTTTAACTTTCTGCTGGTCTGGTACTACTGCACATTAACTATCAGAGAAAGCATCCTCATCACAAATGGATCCAGGTTGGTGCCAATCCTGATTATATACTCCACAGATATCTGCATTAATGTTAAAGATGTGTAAATGTTTTGAAATAATTGCCATCTTTAATTACAAAGCACAATCTCCCACTGTATATTTATAGAAAGCGGTTGATCTTCAATTTGAATCCATTTATTCTTTTTGAAGATGATCCTTTATGAGGAAATGATTTGGTTCTAATGGCCTTGATGCCCCTTATAATTCAGATGACAGAAATTGTGATGCAGTTACTTTTTATTAACAGTGCCTTTCAAAGCTGCACACACGCTTTTGAAATTTTTAAAATTCTATTCACTTACGGTAATAAGTTCAAACATTATTGTGTTTTTCTTAGATTTATTTGAAAAGACCAACACAGTAAATTCCAGTGTTAAATATCCAGTGTCAAACTATACTCACACTTACACTTAAGAGTTATTAAAACAACAATTGGACTAACATATACATATGTAGAGAATTAATTTAACACTAATTCAGAATGGGACCAAGTGCACTTGGATTGGTGTTAAATTCAACTCTTAAAGTGTTACTTTAAAATTGCTAAATTTACTGGAAAAACAAAGCAGTATATAGAGGAAAAGGCTAAATCAGAGTTTTATATTCAGACACACTAAGTTAATACTTTGTAAAAATAACCTTTCTTTACTACTTCTCTGTTTGACCCCCAAATGGCGAGTAAGGAGGTCAAGAGCTGCAAATGATGTAAACGTTCTGTAAATACATAATAGTACTACAAACACGAAAATCATTGCAAATACCAAAATGGGATTAGAACACAAAACACAAGCAACTTAAAAACACTGCAATCATAGGAAATAGGGAAAAGCGCAAACATCCTGCAAATACATAAAGATCCTGCAAGCACCAGTCTGCAAAGTACATATGTTATGCTATCATACAAACAAAAAAAGTTGCAAGTAGCAAAACAACTGCAAGATTATAAAACCTGCAAACCATATGCGCATAACGGGAGCAAATTTTTGTGTTTGCAGTGTGTTTATGTATTTGTAGTGAATTCAAACTTTCTCTTTTCTTTGTGATTGTAGCGTTCCTCTTTTGCTGCACATTTCCTTTTCATGTTTGTATGTTAGCCTCATTTTTGTATTTGCCTGCTTTATTATTGTGTTTGCCTCAGTTTATTACCCTCATTCATAATCCATTAACTCTTTCAATATTCCCTGTTCTTGCCAAAAGAAGCACCTCCTTCAGCATGATGCTGCCCCCATATTGTTATTGAAGATTTTATCAGCGCTTTCATAAATTAAGCGTTTTGTGTTGTGACCAAAAACTTCTATTTTATTCCCTCCTCAATCAGATTCTCTTCTTCCAAATGTTCGATGTGTTCCCTCCATGGCTATCAACTAAGGCTTTTAAAGTTATTCTTTAAGCAAGTGATTTGCTAGTCTTTTTTTTTGCATTAATATTATAACAGGGAGCTGAACAATTGAGTATTCTTATCAAAATGTAAAGAGGATTTTGATTAGTAATGCTTAAACTCCTTTCCCCCTCTGGCGTAAATATGTTCTGACTGGTATGAACTTTTTTTGTGTAATTCTATAAAACTGGAAAAACAAGAGCTCACATATTTAAGACAAGATATATGAAGATCTATATTACAAGCAACCAAGTAATAGTTATTATTATTAACTTTAGGTTTGAGGCCTTTGTATTAATCTTTTCTGGGGTGCCATTACTACGGAGAGTGAAGCATTCTAATGTTTTCAACTAAACATGGAGCTAACTGGACGTGTCTTTTGTCAGAATCAAAGGATGGTGGGTTTTTCACCACTACATCTCAGCTTTTTTGTCTGGTGTGATGCTGACATGGTAAGTAGAATAAAACAAATCCTTTTACAATATTTAAAGCCCACATATTTACTTATCATTCTCCATATTTCCCAACATTTTATCTCCAGGCCAGATGGGATCCTTTACCAGACATTCAGGAATCAATTTCTCGCCTATTCCTTCTATCAAAGTATGTTTAAAATTCTTGTAGCGAAACATATGGTTCAGATTCCTCGTATGCTGATAGTGTTTCCTCTGCCGTGGAAACCCCTTTAGATTTCGTTCAGTGCCTGCAGTACTATTATCAGAGCGGATGTCTGTACAGACTACGAGCTCTGGGAGAAAGACACAACATGGATCTGACTGTTGGTGAGACGTGGACAAACATATCAAGGACACAAAACACAGATAAACTCAGCAAAATATAATATATTAGTTATTATGTTTGAATATAAAGGAAAACATGCTGAAGTCTTTTAATTTTTTCTATTTAAAGAGGGATTCCAGTCGTGGATGTGGAAAGGGCTGACATTTCTCTTGCCCTTCCTGTTTTTTGGTCATGTGAGTATAATCCTGAAAAGTTACCAGTTTATGCAAAACTGATGTCTGTGATTCGTCATGGTTTGAACTAAGCAATTATTGGTAAAAGTTTAATTTTCATACCAGAGACAGTACTTAAAAATGGGGTTGTTTTTAATATATGGGTAAAAGCTTAATATGGAGGGTATTAACTGGATTCTTGACAGAACGAACACATTTCTTCTGTTGGTTGTTTTTTTTTTTTTTTTTTTTTTTTTGTCTAAAATACTTAATACCAGAGTAATGACATGGTAGTGTACAAATGATTTTCAAATGATGGCTTAATTTATTACAGAAAAAGAAAATATATAAATCCAATCCAGCCTGACCTAAGCAATCACTTAAATTAACTTTGATTAACCACATTTAGACTAAAACACCCAGATCATTTTGGTTAAGAAATTGGTTAAATGGATCCTCTCTGACAACACGAAGTAGTCTAAAAGATAAAAACTGTCAACACACTGGGTTTTGATATATAAATTAAACATATGTTGAATAAAATAGAAATATATGTCTAGAAGTGGTTTCAAAGTAAATTCTAAGTATGTAGGAAACCACAGTAAGAGCTATTATCCATAATTGACACAAGCAACAGTGATAACATTTCTTCAAGAATGCAGCATCTGATGAAGATATTTGAGGATTCTTCACACCCTCTGACTTTTTCATTGATTTTTACTGCAGAGGTCACATAACATCATAATAAAGCACTGCAGGCAGTCTTGCAGTAGACCTGAGGAAGACTCCCATTGTTTGATTCCTCATTGTTGTTTAGAAGGTGTGAAGAATCCTCCAACATCTTCAGCAACTTGTGCAGTAATTATTTTGGACTAACAGCTCCAGAGGCTCCAGTTATCCCTGGCAGATGCTGCAGCATCTGATGACGATATTTGAGGATTCTTCACACCCTCTAACTTTTTCATTGATTTTTACTGCAGGGGTCACATAACATCATAATAAAGCACTGCAGGCTGAACTTGCTTCAGTTATTGTCAGTTTTCAATATCTAACTGGAGGAACAAAACTGGGCCAAATCGTTTCCATATGAGAGCGATCCAAGGCCATAACAACTGCTCTCCAAAAATAACACAAAATCTGCCTTACATCTGGCAAAAAAAAAAAAAAAAAATACAGATCAACAAAACTAGCAGCTTGATTCTTTTCAAGAATTTTAGGCATATAATCTTTGAATTTATGAGACAAAAAGGAATCTTTGATTCTTTGGAAAATGTTTTTTCCCTCTGGTAAAATCTACCAGTTGCATATAAATAAATATTTCGCAGTTAGTTATTCTGAGAGTTTTACACTAATTTACAGCTATTCACAGTAATGATGACCAAAATAATGCAACCATTTTTGGCATCTACTAAATCATAGTTACTTTAACATA